GTTACGAAGGCTCTGGAATTGAACGCAGCCGGAGTTACTCAACTTGGCTCCATGCTTTTTACAAGATGCGTATCTGGAGCAAGGTAGGATATTCATTTTGTTCTTATCAAGATGTGCTAACGCTTAAAACGCCAGCTTTAGAATCTCTTTGGGGTGGCCAATTATCATCATCAACTCAGTTGATAAAGCCAAGTGATCTTGTAATACTCCGCACCGACGCATCACCACAGTTTTTTTAGAAATGTAACCCCTTTATACATGGTAGAAGTGCCCATCTTGAGGATGTCTTGCTAACCACACCTGCAAGCCCTTCTCCAAAATGCAGACGGGAAATAAGTCCTCATTGAGAGAAAATATATTACACCGAAACTTTTGAAAGCACTCAATGAAATTTTTATTTATTTATTTATTTTCATGTTTTTTTTGGTTGTTTTTTCACCCTCCAGGGTGGTTCCTCCCGGAAGCACTAAAGAGATCAACGGGTACGTTTTCACTGGCTGGGGTGCGCACGCCAAAAACTACCGCTGTGCATATCTTACTGCAGCCGCGACGATTGGGATGACAAAAGCGGAAGTAGACACGTTTTTAAAGCGACTTGAAAAGTGCCTGTCTAGATTTACCTCAAAAAGCACTTCGATTGATGAATTGTCGAGCCATTGTGAAAATTGCGAGGAAAAGGAAGCCGAAGTTGAAAATAAGGACAATTTAACGGTGAACAGATAGTTATGAATTTGGTTTTAGATTTAGGTTTGTGAACTATGAACTATTTCAGTTAGAAGAATTTTGTATGAAATATTTTCAATTCGTGTTACACCACTGTAACTTTTCTGGATGTTTTGTAACACTGTTCGATGCAGCGTCGTGAAATAAAACTGAACTGATCGCATCGGCCAATCAAAATCAAGGAAACTATCACAAAAAAGTAACAAGAACTTGAAATGATTACACGACATCGCCACAAAAACGGAAAACCCTGAGCCACTGAGTCGTAACTGGGTTTGGTTTCGCATCTGATTGGTTTACAGAATGACACGAGTATTCTAGACCAATCGAAGAGAAGCATTACCAAAGAAATGCAATCTTGGCGAATCACTTTCAGCACTCGATTTAGATGTGAAATTGCTTCATAATCAGGGTTTTCATTAAAAGCCGCTTTCCGTCAGTCTACCGCCACCTGTAAGACTTCCTACCGCTGACTGATTAGCTTACGCGTTGGCCCTCGTGTTTCGGTTTCGCCTTTCACCATCGGAAGCCGCTTCTGGAAAAGGTTTTTGAAACCCCTAATTCATGTTTTCCTGCTCAATAGTTAGAGATTGAGTGGGCAAAACTTGACTCAAACTTTGCTACTCTCTACTTTGAATGTTAAATGAAGAAAAGTGAGGCTACGATACTTCCTCTTTACAGAGAGGTTTATTTATTTATATTCTTGCTTCAAAAGGTTAGCACCACTCTATCTCACGAATTTCGAAGTTCTCGTTGAAATTTTTGTCAATTTACTCTCTCGGTACGACTCTCGCTACTCAAGTGTATTTTGTTTCTCTAACCAATCTGAAAAGGAAAGTTAGTGCCTTAAATTTTGCATTAGAGGTTTTACCATACCCATGCAAAAAAATGCCGCGAATTTACTCTCCTCATCAACCAATCATAATCTGACTGACCTCAGCAACGTGTGTGTTTTTTCCCCGCGCAGCTTTCCGATTCTAATTAGTTGGAATATCCGCGCTGTCACGCGCTCTTCCTCATTTGCATTTTGTCAGTGTAAACCAAAGTCAAAGAGACTTGTAAAACAACTGACAAGGGTTGATTTAAAAAAACTCAGCGTATCTACGCATCCTTCGCTTTTCTTTTTGGGAATGACCTAATATAGCTGAGCTCTATCTTTAATAATAAGGAAAACACGAGACATTTTAAGTTTTAGATTAATAACTCAACCCTTTCAACCCATTTTTGATTTGTTCAAACAAATTGCTAACACATCCTCAACAATCTACGTACATTAGTTGGTTAAGCCAAACTGTAAAACGGCTGAAGAATAAATTTATCGAACTTTCTCAGTTGAAACACTTCCAAATACTAAATCGGCGTGTGCTTTTATGGTACATCCTGAAAACATGTCTTTGTCTTTGATACAAAGATTTAAACTAATTCGTTTTCCTCTGGCGACTGAAAAGCTAAAAAGGGCGTTAATATCGAATTAAAAGCAAGTGTATTAACGCTAGTGTGTTAAAATCTCATTTAAAGCGGCCCTTTTTTTTAATCATGAAAACAAAATTTAAGCTACGTATGGTACTCGGGAAGCAGAACTCACTTTGAATTAAATATTCTGTCAATTTGTTGTCAAGCAATGGTAAACTCAATAGACGTTAATAGGAAACCAGTCTGAACATTGAATACAATCTTCTGCTAATAAGAGTGTCGCTTAAGTAGGTCCCTTACAAAGGATTTCGCCGGCTGTAATATGTAAACATATATTTTCGACTTGATAAAAAAAAAGACATGCAAAAGAGCTTTGCGGGGAAAACCATAGGAAAGGTGCTGAAAATTTCATTAGCACTGAAACGGTGCTAGAAATTATAAGTGATTTCTCTCCAGCGTTGGCAAGTTGAAGATATCGTTGGTGTTAGTGGTGAATTTAAAATTAATTTCACTGCTGGCTGAGGTGGTGTATGTAGATCCCACACATAATATTTATTTTTATGACAAAAACTGATACAAACTTGGTCGGCAAAACACGAATTTTTTTCTTAGGAGGATAAACACTGGAATACAAAAACTAAACGAAGAAAAAGCTGGACGAATTTACGACAGACATTTCTTCTGGAGAATGTCCGAAGACGCAGAAAAACAGGTGGATTCAAGCAAATACCGCCTTGAAAGCGACTGTCAGAGATTTCGCTCTCCGTGTCTGGATGCACATCATGAAGCCTTCATTCTTCGATCGACATGGACCATCGGAAACTTATACGCCTCGAATTTAAATTTAGGGCAAAGTTATATTAAACAGGTCAAAGACCTTGAGCGGCAAAGAAAAGTGTGGTTGTCAAGGAAAGAAAAAGAACAGGACACCGTGCTAAGGAGATGGGAAGCCCTTAAAAAGCAAACAAAACATAGCTACCACTCGAACAGCTTGTCTGAAGTAAAAGACAGCAATTTTGAGCACAAATGGCAAAGTCAGAGTGCTCGAAAGTTTCGACAGAGAGCTGCAACAGTGGCAACAAGTTCCGAAGTCAGAAGTTTAGAGAGCATTGACGTATTCGCTGAAAATTGTAGGTCAACATCACAACCGGAAGGTTCTGCGTTTGTAGTTACTCGTGCAGTAAAGGGAAATTCAGACCAGTTTGGATTTCAAAGCAATGAAGAACTCCCTCGTATTCGGAGCAAGTCATTGAACGCTCGTTTTGTAGAATGCGCTTTTGCTTCAAATACTCATTCAGACCGCCCGTTGCTGAGAAGAAGTATGACTAGTTTTCATCAATCTGGTGTAAAATCTCTGCGACATTTCACCACAGAGTCCGACAGAGATCTAGCAGCGAACAACAGTCTTCTACCAAAATGGTTACCGTCGAATTTACGCTCAAAAAATATTCGCGGAAAGAGTTTTATTTTGTAAGGCGAGTGTCCTAAAATAGAACTGCCATTTTGGAATTAGAATAAGCAAGTTTATGTTTTGTTTTTCAAATATCAAAAATCTGTTAAATAATAACACATTTCACGAGCACACCAGGTTTTATTGAATTTGTACAAACATTGTATCATTTACCAGACTCTTGGCAGAGTAAATAATAGAAGAGAGTAACGTGAATTAATTTTAACTGAAATTCAAATTTGCCTCAATCTCTTATTTTAAACTAGCTGCGCAGTCTTTTAAGGACCCAATGCATTGTTACCTGTTTCAATAGTAAATTAATCGAGACAAAAACTTAATCTTTTTCGGCTGGCACACTTTCTTTTTGACCCATTCCGGTGTAAGTGATGGGCGGACGGTAAGGCCGAGGTATAGTTATTTAAAAGTGTCGAAGATTACGAGATACTCAAGGCCTGTGAATCAACATATCCAACTGCTTTTTTCCGACATTTTGAACGCAGATACTTTTTATTTTAGATTTTATACAAAATATCACAAGAAAATAAGGGCTTCTTGTTTAGCTCTTAGGGTGTCAATTTCACCCAATTTATTTATAGACACGTCCAGTCTCTCAAGGAACTGAAATATGTTTGTTTCTGCGAAGTCCGCAATAGGTTAACCTCGATATGATGTTCGCACAGTGTATATTACTAAACATTGGTGAAATGGCGGCGAGAGTAGAACAGTCCTATTATTTTCTCTTGACAATATACAGCAGTTCTATCCTCTTACCGGTTTAGTAATACGAGCGAGATGTTGGAAGAATTTGAGAAGAGTTTGTAAATCATGGGCCTATACAAAGGCCCTGGATCCTAGATAGAGTAATACCTCAGTTAACCAATAGGAGATGAGATACAAGGCTTTTTTGCCTGTGTCAGGGCTAGATAATAAACATGGCTTCTTCCCTCCTTGTCTCTCTTACTCACCCCGTTCTTTCTTGTGTTCCCACAGGTTCATCAATCTTATATTATACTAAACTGAAACAGCTATGGGTTTACCGTTACAACACGATTTTGACCAATCAGAGCGCGTGTTGTACCTCCCCATCCGCTAGCCTCTATCCCACCTCCAACTGCAAACGCCGTCCTTCTATCCGTATTCAGTCTATAGTTTGATTTTGTACGCATACTGATAATACTATCAAAACTTTTAAGTTTCTCTACTGCAGGTGTTAACGGTGTTAAGGTAAACAAAATTTGTATGAGAATGAATCTTTAAAACGCAAGACTTATTGGAAAGCTTGTCATCCGGGATATCGGAATCATGAGTGTCTCAGGAGCGCCGCGTTACGAAAATCTCTCGTTCGCTGGTACATGTATTTTCTCAAAACACAATTTTATACCATAGATGTGTCCTCAATTCTGTCGTGTTTGAAATAAAAAGTCTGTAAAAAGGTAACACGGCGTAAAAACTAAGTAAAATTTTTGTGTTACGCGGTAAAACTGAAGGATCCTACGCGAGCGAGACAATTCATTAAAGCTTACATGAAACTTAATTTCTGTCTTTGCTCCAGTGATAGTCTTCCTCTGTTCCTTACGCACAACCTTGGTCCTACTTTGTTCCTTACGCAACAACATGGCGCTGGGCAAGGTTTGTTAGTTCTTTTCTTTTTTCACTCTTTATTGTGGTAGTGACGCTACTTTCATAGACAGTGTGGGGGTTAAATCTGATAGGAAAGAAAAATGAATGTCTCATTCAATGAAGGAATCAATGGATGGTATAGACTTAATATCCTTGGTTTCTGTGAGTAGAGCGATTCTGGAATCGCTCCCGTTTGACAGTTGTTCGAAGTGATCAAATACACCGCTAAGTTCTTGGGCCGGGATGAGTTCGCTTCTTAAAACTCCAATTCCGAAGATTTTGTACGGTTTCGATCATTATGTTGACATTTTTGCATGTTATTGCTGACGTATTTTTACTGGTGAACTTTCAGTTCACTTCGAGGTCTGATTGGCTTATGCAATAGCTAGCATCTGAGGGAGTGTTGGAGGCGGGGTGGGGGAGCGGTGAATGTTTTTCTAGAACGATGCCATTGCAAGAAAGTGTATCATGATGGTCACTCTGCTTTGAAATTGGTCATAATAAGCTACTAGTCTAGCATTACGTGAAACCATAATCCTTGTAACAAAAGGTAAAAATCAGAATGGACGATGGTTCACTTTCTGTAAATGTGAAGTAAATCTCATCGGGAATTGAAGATTGTTTGATTGTCTTGTTTTCCTCTGACACAACCAACAATGTGCCACAAAAAACTACTTAATAAAATACTATAGTAATCACATTAAGATTTTTTTCTTTCTAATTTGCATGTCTGTTTGTGTTAATGACGAGAATTTCTATTATCTTGATGAATGCCTACTCAATTTTCGCTATCTATCACGTTGGCAACAAAGTTAACTATTGCATACATATATGATATAGAAACTATTAAACTATTTTATGTTATTAAATGGATCAATGATAGATGTTACCATCAGTTATGAAGCGGTTTCTACAGAGTGCTGTTAACAGAATGCACTTACCATCCACAAGTATGTTTGGCCGATGTTCAAGCACAGCAGCACCTCATTTGGAAGAAAATATCTCCAAGTCATTTGTAACTGGACCTTTGACAATGCTCTCTGAAGAGGAGGAAATGATGAAAGAAACAGGTAATATTTTTTATTCATTCTAAGCTAAAACTCCTGTTGATTAAAAGTTTGAAAAAAAAAACCTGAGATAATTGCAACACCAGTCTGAACAAAATTCAGTGTCACATGGAACCAGTCAGAACTCAAACTAAATGTATGTGGCTGGTTTCGAGTGGCTTTAAAAAAACTTGAATGATTAAATTGTGATATGTTCTCATCTTACATTTTATTCATTGAAGAAGAGGAGCCATATTTCACTGATTGACTGAATATCTCAGAAAAACAGTACTAAACCACTTGTGGATGATTTTTTACACTCAAGAAATAATTGCACAAGCAAATGAATTAGCAGTGATCAAATGTATACTCTTCAATACCAAGGCTTGGATTTCTTTCTGTTGGTCAGTAAAACTATGCTTTTGGTTTTCCAGTTGCTAGGTTTGCTATGGAGAAGATACAGCCACTGGTATTAGAAATGGATCAGAATTCAGAAATGGATCCATCAGTTGTCTCAGGCATGTTTGAACAAGGAGTAAGTTGAAATGTAGTGTTATTCAATGGAAGGGTTGTCAAGTTTTAAAATATATTATTTGCATTAGTTATAGTTTTTAAGCAGTGTGCATGGCTATCTGTGTATCTTTTTCCATTCTTCTGGTCTGTCAGCTGGTCAAGCAAATAATTGGTCAGTCTTCAGTTAGTCAAGATAATTTGGTTTATCCACTGAGTTGGCGATGTAAATTGGCCATCGTAAAGAGTTTCAAAGCTGATGTTTCAAGCATTGGATTTGCTCAATTAATCAACCAGCTAGCCAATTAATTAGTCAGTCAGCCAGACATGGTTGACAGACAGACAGAAAGTCAGTCATTTCAACTCTACAACAAGTTAAACAGATTTTTTTTATATGATAGCTATGCTACTTTTCCTTCTACTTAAGACAAAGTCAACAAGCTAATTGTTTAGTTAATTAGCATTCAAACAGCCCATCAGTTATAAGCCAGACATTCTTGACACAATTGATCTAGATAGATCTTACATAATCTGGTTCATCAAGTTCAGATTCATGATATCCTCCTCTCTCTTGTTGCTATCTTCATTTGCTTTCTAGTTAATGGGGATAGAAGTGGATGCTGATTATGGAGGAACAAACTCATCCTTCTTTGTATCCTGTCTTGTGGTTGAAGAACTGGCCAAGATTGATCCTGCAGTCAGTGTTATGTGTGATGTGCAAAATACTTTAATTGTCACACTGTTTAGGAAATATGGCACACCTCAACAGAGAGCAGAGTACTTGCCAAAACTGGCAGAGAATATGGTATTTAAGCTGATGTTTCTTGTTTTATATGTGTATTGCAATAATGACAATTTCTTTTCAAGGATGGTTGTCTTTGTATTATTTTTTCTTATTTTTGATTCATGTGCACATCATTTAAATTGTTACTTTTATTTTTTTAAAGGGGGACTGGGATGAAATGGCTGATTAGGGATTTTTTTTGTTGGTATGGAGGTAGGGTATGGGGGGAGGGGAATGGGGAAGAGGGAAAGGAGAGGGAATCTGGGGTTGGGAACATGATTCAGTGCCAATCAAGATCTGATTTCAGATTTCCAGAAAATTGGAAGCTTGGGAAACTTAATATGATTTTCTCTTTCCATGTATTGTTGAAAATTATTATGAAAATTGATCAACTTCTGGAAAGGCTGTTATGTGTAATGGGGATGTAGTAGTGTTTCCTTGAAATACAAAAATGAAGGGGACAATTACAAAGATTGAAGTAAAAGTTATATTTGTCATTAACTTCTATCAAGGTTTTTGTGAGCTAGTAGTAAGGAGGATGGCTACAAATTAGAGATATTAAAATTCAAGGTAGAAATCCAGTATGTCCGTTAAAAAAGTATAGAAGGACTTGTTGAAGTAACACATGAACATATTTATTTTTCTAAGGTTGGAAGTTTTTGTCTCTCTGAAGTTGGCTCAGGAAGTGATGCATTTGCTCTTGGTACAAAAGCTGAAAAGCAAGGAGACTTCTATGTGATAAATGGCTCTAAAATGTGGATCACAAATGCTGAACATGCTGGAGTATTTCTTGTCTTTGCTAATGTTGCACCAGAAAAGGTAAACAATGATAAAACTCATGTGACTCTGTTGTTACCCCCAGTGTAGTCAGTGTCAGAGTTTCTTTGTTAATAATATACATGAAAAAAATTTCACATGTCTGGTTGGCTGAAAGTTAGTACATTTTTCATGTAACAAGAGTGAAAAGTTGTAACACAAGTGCAAATTACAAATAGCACACTACCAATTTTTTTTTGTCTTTACTTTCTGTGATGCTTTTTTCATGCAGATTATTAAAAAGTAACAAAACGATTTCTCATGCAATTTGGTGTGAATAAGCACTTTTGAAGTTTTCAAAGACTAAAAATCACACTTGTCCTAGGGGCTTGTGCAATTTTTTTGTCTTTGAAAAATTTACTTGTGCTTATATTTAACACTTAATTGCACTTAAAATAATGTTGTTACTAATACTAATCACACCAACTGGAATAGTTACAATTAAGAATTTAAGAATTTCACTTCAGCAATCTCTTTAGCAATCTTCCTTACTGTCTGCTATACAACTCTTATAATTTTTGGGTGGATCATTTGATGTTGGACCAACTTATTATCCCCGAATTGCTCAAGATTCAACAATCAGCAACTATCTTGCTTTATCATATAATTTTGTTTGTTATATGTAATTCATTCAGACCCAGTTGTTCAAAGGGCAGATAGCACTATCCAATGGAAAGATCTCTATTCAGGGGATAAGTGTTAACAAAAAATACTGTGTTGTCTGCCAGGCCCAGATTATTTGAAGAACGGATAATGCTATTCATCTAATAAATTTCTGCCTAGTCATGGATAGTGCATTATGGTTGGCTGGTGAGTTATCAGTCAGAAAGTATTATCTGCCCTTTGAACAACCAGGACTTTATTTAAAAACTTGTTCTCACCCAGTGTTTCTATGCATCTTCTGTTTTGTTGTTAATCAGGGATACAAAGGAATAACAACATTTGTAGTCCCAAAAGAAACAGATGGTCTTTCACTTGGGAAAAAGGAAGATAAGGTATGAGATGGTAAAGTTTGTTAGCTTAGTCTGTTGGTTGATAGTTTGAAGTACTACTTGTGAATTGTCAAATTATTTTAATGGACAGTGATATCAGAAAATTTTCCTAGGTGCATGAATCGGGGGTGAAATAACAAGTCAAACAGTCATATGATACCTTGGAAAATTTTTACAAACTTTTTTGAGTTTTTCTTTTTTTTCAATCATAGCTTGGAATTAGAGCATCATCAACATGTCCTGTGCACTTTGACAATGTGAAGGTGAGAATTTTTTTGTTGGCTTAATTTTGTGATAAAAGTGTCACATGTTTATCTTTGCACATGCAGTCAATGCATTAGGTTACCACCCCTCTCAGCACACTATTTTAACTGGTGGTTTATCTATCCATTGACTCTTTTTGTTGATTTTTGTGTAGGTCCCTGCTAGTGCAGTCCTTGGTCAGGTTGGTCACGGCTATAAGTATGCAATTGAGTGTCTAAATGAAGGACGCATAGGGATTGGAGCTCAGGTGAGTGATTGACACCTTCGCAAATTATAGAAATTGATCAGAGTAATGTGCAAGATACAAGAGGTGTGCTTTCAAATAAAATTCTCATTTTATTTGCCATAATCCACTACAACTCACCTCATCTCCTTAGTTGCCTAAGAATGAATTCGCCTCAAGATATAAGTAGAGTAAACTAATAATCATTGCACCCCTGTATTCTCAGATGGTTGGACTTGCTCAGGGCTGTCTAAATTGTACAGTTCCTTACTTACACGAAAGAAAACAATTTGGCCAGAAGATCTGGGACTTCCAGGTAAGAGGAACTGTTAACCAGTCAGCCACACATTGGAGACACAGCTACAAAATTACAGTAAACCCATTAGGGTAACTCCTTTGCATAGAGAGCAGAATTCACGAAAGGTGTTGACATAACCCAATGTTGACATTGGTTCTAGCCAGAAGCATGTAATGCTTCTTCTCAAGCTTGATTCATCTCTTTATGATTGTACTTTTAAAGATGCATAGAAAATCAATGAGAGCTGCAATAACTCAAAAGGTAGAGGGTATGTTTTTCAGTCATGGAGAAAGAAAACAGAAATTGAAGAGGAGGTGAACCTTCAGATTGACACTTTTTGATCATATAGTGAAAATGTTTTCAGATACTACTTTCTATAATTTGTCTAATTGTTAAAGCATTTTAGGTTAAACTTCTCATCATCAATTTTTCTACCCATACAGTATCACTATTAATATTTAGTGCTACTTGTAGTGCTACTTGTACTGTGGTTAGTGTTAAGGTTAGCCTTGACCTAAACAAATTTGATTCTTGTTTTGATTGCTTCTTTAGGCTGTCAATCACCAGGCTGCACACATGCTTACGCAGATTGAGGCTGCTCGGTTGTTGGTGTATAATGCAGCACGGAGAAAGGAGGCAGGGCTTCCCTTCCTTCGAGAAGCTGCCATGTCAAAGTACTTTGCAGGAGAGGTACTGTTTATTCTCAAAACTTTATTTTCTTTGTCTCAAAGCTTCACAAAGATTTAAGAGTAAAGAAGACAGTTTGACAGGTAATAAAAATATGCTCTGAACAGTCAGGATGCAAAGGATTGAGGATGACAAGGATTTTGTTGAATGAGACTGACTGTACTGATTCTACCCTTTTGTACATATAGAGGAGGCAGTCGTGGTCAGTTCAAGGTCATGAGAAAACAAAGCAGTATTATTAGTAATTTGGCAATTAAAGCTCATCAGCATGGGGCCTAGCCATTGGCTCTATGGAAGTCTTATGACTTGCATGCTGATCAAATTGCACAATCTAAGAAAGGACTAATATTTAAACTGCTTGTACTTAGTCTACACCTCTCAAAATTGTTATCTACATTGAAAATATTAATGAGATTAATATTCATCTAAATTGTATCTGCACCCTCCTGTGTGTGTTTACTTTACAGTCAGCAAGATAGAAAAGAGAAACAATATGCATTATTTGTTTCTAATCAGGTGGCCACCTTGACAACTTCAAAGTGTATTGAACTGATGGGAGGAGTGGGATATTCCAAACAGTATCCTGTGGAGAAATTCTACCGTGATTGTAAAATAGGTTGGTGCAGTTTTTATGTCTGAATTCAAAGCTTGGGGCAAAGGGGGCTGGACAAAGACAGGAGAGAGGGCAAACTCTTGTTTTCATTTGGCCTGGAGCTCTATGCATTCTTGGCAACCTTAATCCTCTATTTCTGTACAATTCATGGTGTTTCCTTGAAGCTTGAAACTTCAGAACATGCGCAGATCACGTGGATTATAAGTCAAGTTGTTGCATGTTTTTATTCACCTGTCTTCCTTCCATGATCATAGTGTCCAGGTCTGTTCAGTTCAGACCCAGGGCAATGGTCTTTTCCTTTTGGCCTATGATCCAACTCATTTAATAATATCTTTTTTAACCCTTTAACTCCCAAAATCTTATTAGTAATTCTCCTTACTGTCTGCCATATAGTTCTTGTGATGTTAGTTTGGAGAATTTGGTATTGGATTAACTAATTAGTATTTTTCTTTATTCTCATCACTTGTCTGCTTGATATTGTATTGATATTGTAAGGAGAAACTCTTTCTTGGTCACTCATGGAAGTGATAGGGTTCAATTTGTTTTTTTTTCCAATTTAATGTGAAGTAAAATTCCTAGCCCTTGACTACTTTTTCTGTTGTCTATGAGATGTGCAGTCTATGAATTTTAAAATATTTTATATTTTCCCAAGCAATCTACAGAACACACTGCTAGCGGCTAGTTAAACATTTATTTGGTTTGATTCAGTCTCCTGCAAATGATCATCCTCTATTAACAGTCTTGTGAGCGCATCATTGGCTTTGTGCCATGTTAAGTTCTTGGATCAGTTTCGATTTTTGTTCATCTGCAGGGAAATTGAATTTTATTTTCTCCCAAATCAAGTAATACTTAAACCAATTTAGGGCAAAGTACAAGTATTAAAAGGATGACTGAACTGGTTTCTTTTGTTTTGATCAATCTAAGTGTTCCCAGGTTCTCTTGACTGTTTACCTCATTGCGTTAAGTAAACGTTGTCATAAAAAAAGAAAACCACTGAAAAGCCAACTTCGAAGTTAACATGAAGCATAAGCATACAGCGTTAGCATATATTTTATCGTTGTTTTTATTTATTAATTTTTGGAATAACTTGAAATTTAAAAAGAACAAGTAATACTCTCAAGAAGATTAAATTAATTTTATCAGTAGAAATTCTATGAAAATAATTCGGCTAACGGGCATACAGCCGGCGGGTAGTTTCATATGCTAAATAATTCCCATTTGGTTTTTTTCCTTTTTCGTTTTTTCGTTTCAGTTTTAGTCTATGATAACGTTATTGAACTCAGGAGTATTAATCTGTTTTGTACATACATTTTTACACGTTGTGGATAATGAAAAGATTGTTTGCCTCTGTAGCTCTATATTTAATAAAATCTTATTCCAAATTTTGTTTCTCAGTGAAAATGTCATTAGTTAACTCCTGGAGAGTTTTGTTGTCAATCAAATATCTGAATGTTTGAATTACCTCGGTCAAACACTACAATTCGGCCATTGTTTAAAACTGCTGCGGACCATGGAACTTCAAATTCTCCTAAATTGTTGCCTTTTGAACCAAAATCCCCGACAAATGTTCCATTTAGCTCAAATACTTTTATAATATGATTATCTGAGTCGCAAACTATTAGGTGGCCTGACGTTGTTAATGACAAGCATCTAGGTGTGCGAAGCTGTCCAAACTGATACTTGAAGTTTCCTTTCCTGTCGAAAACTTTGAGGCAATTATCATTCATGTCCGAAACTACGAAATTGTTATCGCACTCAACGCAGTGGATAGGATAGGAAAAAGAGCCTTGTTCTCCAATTTTCATCAGGAACGTGCCATCAGGAGTAAAGATCTTAATCAGTTTGTTACCTGCATCAGCAACAATGATGTTGCCATCACTGTCTACAGACAAACCACAAGGATCAGAGAACTGATTGTCCATGCTTCCTTTTTCACCAAAGCTTCCCACAAACTCGCCCATTTCAGTAAAAGTTTGTATTCTACTGTTGTTGTTGTCTGCTACGAAAATGCATCCATTTTTGCTGAAAGCTATGCCCGTTGGTTTCTTAAATTCTCCCTTGTTTGTGCCAAACCGGCCAAAGGATCGCAAATAAGTTCCATCACTGTTAAATATTTGGACTCTATTGCAATCAAAATCTGTGACTGCTATCTCGTCCTTGGTATTCACTGCCACACAACGGACGAGCCGTGTTTTCCAAAAGATAAAACAGGTTGAACCTTAAATGGTTGTACCTGTACAGCAAAAGGGCTGCCATGAACATGTTCCCCGTTTGCCATTATTGTCACTTCATATCTGCCCGGAACTTGGGGAAAATAACCAATCTTGTATGTTCCATCTTGATCAGGATCAAGGTGTACTTCCGACGCGCATTCTCGTCCTTGTTTATCCTTAATCTCCACCGTTACATGGTCATGCGCATTATAGCACCGCTCTCCTCTCGAGTTGTTTGTGGTCAGTAGAAAGTGCGCCTCACGTCCGGCTATTCCTGACTCAAGTCCTCTGCCTTCGACGACACATCGACTTGGTTTTGTTCGGTTCGGTTCTTCCAGAAAACCAATTTCTTCGTTGTTGATTGTGTCCAACATCTTTTGATTCTTCTCGAATACTAAACGAAGTGGTGTATTTTCGTGGTTACAGACAATTAGCTCGGCTCGATCAATATCCTCGCAGATCGTTGCTAATGATCTCTTCAGTTGAACGACTTCGCTGTTTGAACTTCGTGTTAACAGTTTATCAGCTTTGACAAGAGATAATCGTATGATCGTCATTTGCTTTTCAATGGCAGCCTTACGCTGCGCTAAGTTTTCTTTTGACCTGTTTGTTTGGATTTTCAACTCTTCAAATAGGTTACGTTTTTTGGCTTCGATGACAGCAATCAAGTTATCCACGAATGCTTGAACTTCTTTCTTAGCTTGTTCACTTCGTTGTTTATGTTGGGCGAATTCATCATCAAGAATTTGAACCTCGTTCATTTTAGCTTGTAACTTTTGTGTCTGAGTTTCAATCAAAGCTCTCATCTGAATCCTCTGTTTTTCTGCTTCTTCTTCAATCAGTGTCATTGAGTGACCTCCATGGTTTACTACGACACAAGCTTTGCAAACTGCCGTTTCACAGTTTTTGCAGAAGTATTTTAGTTCTTCACCTTTATGTCCTTGTTTAGGGCACCATGAAGGTCGTTTCAATACCGCTTCATAGTCCTCGTCTTGAAAGTCTTTGAGCGCCAGAACACGATGACCTCTATTTTTCCGGATGATTTTATGCGCGAGTATGCACTCATTGCACCAAAACGCGTAACATTGAAAACAATAAGAGGTCTCGGAGCTTTTCTTGTCGCAGTTTCCGCATCGCACTTGGTTGGTTCTGCATTCCTTGATGGCCAACACATCGATCATACCGTTAAGGTAGAAACTGGTTGGAAGATCTTTCAGATCACCAGTTTCAGGGATTCTGCTGAGTGCTTGACAGTTTGGGCATATGATTGTGTCTCGGCCATGGCTTGTTCTGTGCCACTGTTTCAAGCAATTTAGGCAGAAACTGTGCAAACATGGTAGCTGTTTTGGATCGGTGAATATGTTGGAACAAACTGAACAAGAAACTTCTTCACGGAGATTATGGAGCAAGGTTTTGATATCCATGTTGTATTCCCGTTCAGAAACGATGAAGTGTACAGGTGTACTCTTTCTCGTAATCTAACACGAGACAGTGAAGTCTAGATCATCTAGAAAATATCTTATGAACTAGCAGTTTGTTGAACTAACCTTTCCCGGCGTCAGGACCAATGAGGAATCGTTCCGATTGAAGAATTTGACCCCGGCATGCTCGGATGTTTATCAGGTCGGAAACAAATATGTGTTTGTGCTGAACTCTTTACAGACATCGGTCATTTTTTAAATTTTTTTTCTCGTTCGCTTTTGATTTCACTTCTCACATTGCTGTGACTTATTTTAGCAGCACTTGCTTTGGGCGAGCTTCGCAATCATCAGAAATGTTAGAATCAAAGCCGAGTCTGCAATCCGACCACTCCAAATGAAACCCAACCGGGAGCAATGGAATCTTGTGACCTGATACAATCTTGGAATCTGCTCGGTTTTATATGATAATTGTGTTTAACTGGAAATTTCGTTGATAACTGTTGTGGTTTGTTATCGGTTATGCTTTATGATTCTTAAGAATGGGATTCTTTTGCGTGTTCAGGGTTGAGATGTTTTGCGAGGACGCGAGTGAGACCTACAAATGACTCCTCGCTGGCGCGTGCTCAGCGTGAAATTTCGTTTCATGTCACCTTGTTAAGTTTTTTTTTTTTTTTTTTTGCTGTTAGCGGCGATTACGTTTTCTTTTGCTTTGATAAATTCACTTATAGGTTGTCTTTGAAGAAAAAGTCCCAAGTTTATTTGCTACGAAAAGGCTCTCTTTGTGCTCTCTATTTTCGTCTTAACTTGAAATAATTACAGATACAATCTCTAACTATTTCTGTTTTCTCTGCAGGCACTATTTATGAGGGAACCGCAAATATTCAACTTTCTACAATTGCCAAAAATATGAAAGAATTTGAACCATGATGATAGAAATATGATCCTCTGTTCCAACACTAATCAGGACTTAACTAACAAACTTTCATTGGAATGGAGATGGGAATCAAATGCTATTGGTATCAGACAGTTGTCATTACTGTATTATTGTGGAAACGGTCAGAGAAACTTTGGATTGGGATCTCTGGTGGTCCTCAACCCAGTCGGGCTCAAAAAAGGATCTTTTTCTCATCTCTAAATTAAAACAACGGTGTGGCAGGTTATGGATTTGTACAGCGGAGACAATCAAAGAACCGTACGGGTATGGCAGATAGAGTGATCTAGTCCAAGGCGGGATGGAGGTTTTCGTGTCGCCTGTCTCCTCTGGATTAGTCAAAGCTGACTCTGCATCAACTGTTAACATATTAACAGTCGAATTTTAGTTTTATCTGGTTCTTCAAGAAATTTTCAAAACTGTATAAGATTCTTTATGCAAGGAAAAGAACGAATGAGGCACAAAGATGAATTAAGAGCATTTTTGGGTAATCATAGAACAGTTTTAATGCTGGACTCCTGTTTTTCTTTTTTATATACTCCTGGGAGATTATCGATGTATATTTAAGTAGAGAGACCTTAGGAGCCATTTTTTTTTTGGAGAATGAAACATGTTAAGCAGAAAGGGAAATACGCAGGTATCTCTCATTCTATTTTCTTTCAAAGGGGTAAACTGTATATATAATCTAATTTTTTATCGCAATTTTCACTATTTTCCCCTCTCCCAATTCGTTGTTGTAAAATCACTAGCTCGGCTCTAGTCGTCTCTTAGGATGTCTTCTAGGTTAAGCGACCACGCTCTAACTACTTTGGGATTTTGGGAAAGCACTTAAAATCTTCTCAATCATTCGGTTTGATCCCATAATTTATGCACGTTTCTGTGTTTTCCAGCAAACATCGACTAAAAGAACACAGAAATTCTTTAAATACTCAAACTTTCACGGAAAAAAAATTTTAGACAAGCCTTTGATGTCAAAGAATCCGAAAGACTTAAGGGGAGTGTTGATATAAGATTTGACCTGATTCATTCCTAGTCGACATAATAGAGCCGGAGAGACGAAAATATTCCCAGAACTTCCACATTCTTTTTTCTTGAGTGAGATAGAGAGTTCAACACTTTTTGGAGCCGGATCACGAAATCTCGTACAAAATCCTTTTTTCGCCAGTTACAACGTTTTTTGGGAATATTTCGGAGACGGGCCAGAGGGAGAAGGTTAGAAGGAATGAAACCTGGCCCTGCCAAACCGTCATTGTTGGCTGCCCGACGTAAGAAGACAGAACTGGAAATACGTCAGGAGTTTGATGGAACCAAATCTTATTGACTCAATGGAATAGTGTCCGTTTTTTTCCTAGATGAACTCAGTGTTACTGCAAATAGATCTTTCCCCACTTAACAAATACGAATGTGGTGGCAAGCAGGCACTTTTTAAAAGTGTTTCAGCACAAGCGTTTCTTCGCCCGCGAGAAGGTATAAACCTTTTAGCAACGCGAGCCGACGAGAGGTCTGGAAGAGGTCGATACTGACCCTGGCAAACCTCTCCTAGACTTGCATCAAATCTTCCCGCGGGTTGAGAAATGCACGTTCTGCAGCGCTTATAATCATGAGGGCCTATGGATGCCCAGACGTAGTTTAATCGCTCGAAACATTTCTACCTGAATACTTACAGGATGGTTTTTGGTAACGGGGGTAGGTTTCTGAAGAAACTGGTGCTGCGTCGTTGGGAGAGTATAACAGGGTAATTTAGCATTGTCACCTAACGTGTTGCCCTGATTTTTTGTAAGTTGACTTATCAGAAGTAAGTTGCTGCCTGACGGATCGAAAATAACTAATCGCGACTAATCAACGCAGCTTGAGTTTTACAGCCAGTACAAGGCATCAAGACAATACTAACCAATCAGTTTTCAGGGGCAGGACGTAACACATTCAATCGACAACAACTTGTGACTCTTTCGATGACTTTCGCTCACATCAAAATAAGCTGCTAGTCTAGCATTACGTGAAAACATAATCCTTGTGACGAAAGATAAATCAGAATGGACGATGGTTCACTTTCTGTTACTGTGAAGGAAATCTCGTCGGAAATTGAAGATTGCTTGATTGTCTTGTTTTCCACCAACACAACCAACAATGTGCCACAAAAAACTACTTAATAAAATACTATATTAATCACAAAGTTTTTTTCTTTTTAATTTGTATGTCTAATAGTGTTAATGAGGAGAATTTTTATTATCTTAATGAATGCTTATTCAATTTTCGCTAACTATCATGTTGACAACAAAGGTAACTACTGAATACATATGTGATATAGCAACTACTAGCAATTTTATGTATAATGGTAATTGAACTGAGTGGAGTGGGCTGAAATTCGAGTTCAATTTGAAAACGCGAGTTCAATTTGAAATCACAAGTATCATTTCAGACCAAAACTGCACAACACGAGGTTCACTTACCACTTTATTGCATCCATTTTGAAATCGCCCAAATACAGGACTTCAAATATTTTGTTACTACAATACTGAGCCAGTTTCAAATTAAATTAATCCATTTTTTGGGAGGAAAAAAAAAGAGTTTTGGAAACAAAAGTTGCAAAATTTGCCACATGACACTTCATGTCTTTCATCTTCCTGCAATTTGATCGGTTACTTTAAACAAGCCTTGAAGTCTGATTGGTTGTTTTGTTTTTAGTGTAGCCTCCTCATAAAGCAAAAAAATGGTGCAATTTGTGAATAAATCGCACCAATTAGAGCCAATCAGATTACAGGGACCACCAGTGATTTCAAAATGGGTGTAATAAATTTTTAAATCTATCAATGATAGATGTCACCATCAGTCGTAAGGCGGTTTCTACAGATTGCTGTTACATATATGCCAATTCTCCCGGATACAGAGCCAATCTCCCACTCTCCCGCAGAGGTGACCAAAACTCCTGGATCATTTGCCCACAAAAAACTAAGATTTAAGCTCCAAATGTTCCTGAATTCCAAAATCATCTAGCTTCTTATGCTTGTATTACGGTTTCTGTATGTGGTTAGTTTCAAGTGGGTTAAAAAAACCTTGAATAATTAAATTGTGATGAGCCTCATTTTACATTCTATTCATTGAAGAGGAGGCACTGAATTTAACTGATTGACTGAATATCAAACAAAAACAATACCAAACCACTTGTGGATGATTCTCTACACTCAAGAAAAAATTGCACAAGCAAATGAATTAACAGTGATCAAATGTACATTCTTGAATTACAAGGCAATGTTTTAATGGGTCTGAGATACTGAAATTTTCCCAATCTTTGAATTTAACGAAAGTCATTTTTCTTGCATTTCTTTCTCTTGTCAGTAAAACTGTGCTTTTGCTTTTCCAGTTGCTAGGTTTGCTATGGAAAAGATACAGCCACTAGTATCAGAATTAATTCAGAAATGGATCAATCAGTCATCAGGGGCATGTTTGAACAAGAAGTGAGTTGAAATGTAGTATTGTTAAATGGAAGGGTTCAAATTTTAAAATTAATTATTTAATGTGTTAGCTGTAGTTTTAACCCGACTGTGCATGGCTATCTGATTATCTTTTTCCATTCTCCTGGTCTGTCAGCTGGTCAGGCAAATGATTGGTCAGTCTTCAGTTAGTCAAGATAATTTGGTTTATCAACTGAGTTAATAATGTAAATTGGCCTCCGTAAAGAGTTTCAAAGCTGATGTTTCAAGCATTAGCCCTTTGTCAGAGCAATTGATTTGCTCAATCAATCATCCAGCTAGCCAATTAATTAGTCAGTCAGTCAGCCAGACATGGCTGACAGACAGAGAGAAAGTCAGTCATTTCAACTCTACAACAGGTTAAACAGATTTTTTTTATATGAAAGCTATGCTACTTTTTCTTCTACCTAAGGCAAAGTCAACAAGCTAATTGTTTAGTTAACTAGCATTCAAACAGCCCATCAGTAATAAGCCAGACATTCTTGACACAATTGATCTAGATAGATCTTACACAATCTGGTCCATCAAGTTCAGATTCATGATTTCCTCCTCTCTCTTGTTGCTATCTTCATTTGCTTTCTAGTTAATGGGGATAGAAGTGGATGCTAGTTATGGAGAAACAAACTCATCCTCCTTTGTATCCAGGTAGCAGTCTTGTGGTTGAAGAACTGGCCAAGATTGATCCTGCAGTCAGTGTTATGTGTGATGTGCAAAATACTTTAATTGTCACACTGTTTTGGAAATATGGCACACCTCAACAGAAAGCAGAGTACTTGCCAAAACTAGCAGAGAATTTGTTATTTAAACTTTTATGCTTATGACTACAGCTTGGAGCAAAGGGGGCTGGACAAAGACAGGAGAGAGGGCAAACTCTTGTCTTCATTAATATTTTGGCCTAGAGCTCTATGCACTCTTAGCAAACCTCAACCCTCTACTTTTGTACAATTCATGGTGTTTCCTTGAAGCTTGAACCTAAGGAACATGTTGATCATGAGTCAAGTTGTTACATGTTTTTATTCACCTGTCTTCCCTCCATGATCATAGTGTCCAGGTCTGTTCAGTTCAAAGAGAAACAGACCCAGGGCAACTATCTTTTCCTTTTGGCCCATGATCCAACCTGTTTAATAATACCTTTTTAACCCTTTAACTCCCAAGATCTCATTAGTAATTCTCCTTTAAGTGTCTGCCATATAGTTCTTGTAATGTTAGTTTGGAGAATTTGGTATTGGATCAACTAATAATCCCCTAATTAATATTTTTCTTTATTCTCATCACTTGTCTGCTGGATAATGTATTGATATTGTAAGGGGAAATTTGGTCTTGGTCACTCATGGGAGTTAAGGGGTTAAGGACTATAATTGAGTCTGAGTGAAATGTGTGAATAACTTGCATGGAGATTGAAATCAAAGGCCAAGAGCCATACTAAAGACCTGAGGAGCACATTTTTTTCCCTGTATGGACCACCCAAGACTAATAAACAACTTAGTCTACATTTCTCCCGCTGGTTTGCTTTTTTCACTTTGTTGTGAAGGGCACGGAAAAGAAAATCTGGACCATATATTTTTTTAAAAAGTTGGACAGGTTATGAGTCGGTAATTAGCCAACCAGATTCAAGGATGTAAGATTCCAGCCCACTGAGATGCTTCAAAGAAATGAACACTTTTTGTACACAAACACTCTCCAATGTTGTTTTAACTGTTGCGACACAAGGAAAACATTCTTCTGCTAGACTATAAACTTTAATAAGCTATGTGCTAATACACAGCACAAAACATGCATGGCAGGTGAATACAATGAGTCAGAAACTAAACTCTTGTGCCCAGAAGCACAAGCAAAATTAATCTTCACTGTAAAAAAACTTGCACTATAGAATTTCCTTGCATGCAATTTTCAATCCTTGATGACTCATACAGCACATTGTACTGCAATTTCACTGAAAATATTTACATGAGAGTTCTCACGGCTTTTAGCTTACTGATGAGCCTTCAATAAATTTTGAGTAAAATAAATTGTTATATGCATATCTAGTTTTTTACCTTTTCAATCTCAAGATCTCATTGGTAATTCTCCTTTCTCTCTGCCATACAATTCTTATGAAATTGGTTTGGAGAATTTAGTATTGGATCAACTATTATTCTTCTATCAATATTCTCATATAATAATCCCCTAATTAATATTCTTTCTTATTCTCATCACTTATCTGCTTGATACTGTATTGATATTGTAAGAAGAAATTCTGTCTTGATCATTCTTGGGAGTGATAGTGTTAAACTTTTTTTTCCAAAATTTAACATGAAGTAAAGTTCCTAGCCCCCAACCACTTTGTCTGTTGTCCATGTGATGCATAGTTTATGAATTTTAAAATATTTCATATTTTCCTAAGCATTCTATGGAACACAGTGCTATTGGCTAGTTAAACACCTATTTGGTTTGATTTAGTCTCCTGTAAATGATCATCCTCTACTTACAGTCTTGGGAGTGCATTATTAACTTTGTGTCTTGTCAAGTTTCTTGGAAATTGAATTTTTTTGTACCAAAACAAGTACTGGTAATACTAAAACCAATTTAAGGCAAAGTACAAGTATTAAAAGGATAACTGAACTGGTTTCTTTTGTTTTGATCATAAGTTGGAGAAATTTTTTCTGTCAAGCTTAGTGTTTACACGATTCTAAAATAGATGTTCCCAGGTTTTCTTGTCCCAGGTTTTCTTGAGGTTTACCTCACTGCGGTAAGTAGGCGTTGTCATAGAAAAAAACAAAAAGGAAAACATGAAAAAGCCAACTTCAAACTTATTAGCATAACGCGTAAGCATACAGCATTAGCAAATATTTTATTTTTGTTTTTTTTTTTTTTAATTTTTGAGATAGCTTGAAATAGCTGATAGCTTAAAACAACATGTAATACTGTCAAGACGTTTGAATTATTTTTTTCCGTGGGAATTCTATGAAAATAATTCGGCTAGCGGGCATATAACCGGCGGGTAGTTTTTTATGCTAAATAATTCCTTTTTGGTTTTTTCCTTTTTCGTTTTTTCGTTTCAACTTTAGTCTATGACAACGTTATTGCATTCAGGTGAATTTACCTGTTTTATACATTCATTTTTACACGTTGTGGGTAATGAAAAGATTGTTTGCCTTTGCAGCTCTATATTTAATGAAATCTTGTTCCAAATGTAGTTTCTCAGTGAAATGTCATTAGTTAACTCTTGGAGTTTTGTTGTCACTTAAATATCTGAATGTTTGAATTACCTCGGTCCAACACTACAATTCGGCCATTGTTTAAAACTGCTGCGGACCATGGAACATCAAATTCTCCTAAATTGTTGCCTTTTGTGCCAAAATCCCCGACAAATGTTCCATTTAGCTCAAATACTTTTACCATATGATTACCTGTGTCGCAAACTACTAGGTGGCCTGCCGTTGTCAAGGACAAACATCTAGGTTGGAAAAGCTGTCCAAACTTGTACTTAAAGTTTCCTTTCCTGTCGAAAACTTTGAGGCAATTATCATTCATGTCTGAAACTACGAAATTGTTATCGCACTCAACGCAGTGGATAGGATAGGAAAGAGAGCCTTGTTCTCCAAATTTCCTTAGGAACGTGCCATCAGGAGCAAAGATCTTAATCAATTTGTTACCCGTATCAGCAACAATGATGTTGCCATCACTGTCTACAGACAAACCGCAAGGATCAGAGAGCTGATTGTCCATGCTTCCTTTTCCACCAAAGCTTCCCACAAACTCGCCCATTTCAGTAAAAGTTTGTATTCTATTGTTGTTGTTGTCTGCTACGAAGATGCATCCATTTTTGCTGAAAGCTATACCCGTTGGTCTAAGAAATTCTCCCTTGTTTGTGCCAAACCGGCCAAAGGATCGCAAATAAGTTCCATCACTGTTAAATATTTGGACTCTGTTGCAATCAAAATCTGTGACTGCTATCTCGTCCTTGGTATTCACTGCCACACCCCATGGAAGTACAAACATTCCAGCGGACGAGCCGTGTTTTCCAAAAGATAAAACAGGTTGAACCTTAAATGGTTGTACCTGTACAGCAAAAGGGCTACCATGAACATGTTCCCCGTTTGCCATTATTGTCACTTCATATCTGCCCGGAACTTGGGGAAAATAACCAATCTTGTATGTTCCATCTTGATCAGGATCAAGGTGTACTTCCGACGCGCATTCTCGTCCTTGTTTATCCTTAATCTCTACAGTTACATGGTCACGCGCATTATAGCACCGCTCTCCTCTCGAGTTGTTTGTGGTCAGTAGAAAGTGAGCCTGGCGTCCAGCTATACCTAACTTAAGTCCTCTTCCTTCAACGACACATCGACTTGGTTTTGTTCGGTTCGGTTCTTCCAGAAAACCAATTTCTTCGTTGTTGATTGTGTCCAACATCTTTTGGTTGTTCTCGAATACTAAACGAAGTGGTGTATTTTCGTGGTCACAGACAATTGGCTCGGCTCGATCAATATTCTCACAGATCGTTGCTAATGATCTCTTCAGTTGAACGACTTCGCTGTTTGAACTTCGTGTTAACAGTTTATCAGCTTTGACAAGAGATGATCGTATGATCGTCATTTGCTTTTCAATGGAAGCCTTACGCTTCGTTAAGTTTTCTTTTGACCTGTTTGTTTGGATTTCCAACTCTTTAAATAGGTTACGTTTTTTGGCTTCGATGACAGCAATCAAGTTATCCACGAATGCTTGAACTTCTTTCTTAGCCTCTTCACTTCGTTGTTTAAGTTGGGCGAATTCGTCATCAAGAATTTGAACCTCGTTCATTTTAGCTTGCAACTTTTGTGTCTGAGTTTCAATCAAAGCTCTCATCTGAGTCCTCTGTTTTTCTGCTTCTTCTTCAATCAGTGTCATGGAGTGACCTGCGTGGTCTACTATAACACAAGCTTGGCAAACTGCTGTTTCACAGTTTTTGCAAAAGTATTTTAGTTCTTCTCCTTTATGTCCTTGTTTAGGGCACCATTCAGGTCGTTGCAATACCTCTTGATAGTCCTCGTCTTGAAAGTCTTCCAGCGCCAGAACACGGTGATCTCTATTTCCTCGGATGATGTCGTGCGCGAGTATGCACTCATTGCACCAAAACGCGTAACATTGAAAACAATAAGAGGTCTCGGATCTTCTCTCGTCGCAGTTTCCGCATCGAACTTGGTTGGTTTTGCATTCCTTGATGGCCAACATATCGATCATACCGTTGAGGTAGAAACTGGTTGGAAGATCTTTCAGATCATCAGTTTCAGGGACTCTGCTAAGAGCTTGACAGTTTGGGCATCTGATTGTGTCTTGGCCATGGCTTGTTCTTTGCCACTGTTTCAAGCAATTTAGGCAGAAACTGTGCAAACATGGTAGCTGTTTTGGATCGGTGAATATGTTGGAACAAATTGAACAAGAAACTTCTTCACGGAGATTATGGAGCAAGGTTTTGATATCCATGTTGTATTCCCTTTCAGAAACGATGAAGTGTAGAGGTGTGCTCTTTCTCGTAATCTAACACGAGACAGTGAAGTCTAGATCATTATTAAAATCTCTTATGAGTGAATTAGCAGTTTGTTGTACTAACCTTTCCCGGCGTCAGGACCAATGAGGAATCGTTTCGATCAAGGAATTTGACCCCGTCATGCTCGTATGTGTAACAGGTTGGAAACAAATACGTGTTTGTGCTGAACTCTTTACAGACATCTGTCATTTTTTTAATATTTTTCTCGTTCGCTTTGATTTCATTTCTCACATTGCTGTGGTTTATTTTAGCAGCACTTGCTTTAGGCGAGTCTCGTAATCATCAGAAATGCTAGAATCAAAGTTCTGCAATCCGGCCACTCAGAATGAAATCCGATCGGGAGCAATGAAATATTGCAACCTTATGCAATCTTGGAATCTACTCGGTTTTATATGATAATTGTGTTTGACTGAAAATGCCGGTGATAACTGACGTGGTTTGTTATCGGTTATGCTTTATGATTCTTAAGAATGGGATTCTTTTGCGTGTTCAGGGTTGAGATGTTTTGCGAGGACGCGAGTGAGACCTACAAATGACTCCTCGCTCGCGCGTGCTCAGCGTGAAATTTCGTTTCATATCATATTGTCGAGTTTTTTTTTTTTATGCTGTTAGCGGCGATACGTTTTTTTTTTATTTGATAAATTCACAGATAGGTTGTATTTCAAGAAAAAGTCACAAGTTTATTTGCGGCTTCTGATGTTTACTGGTTTACAGTTCTGTAGTCTCTTAGGAGACTGGGGCTTTCTCCGCGAGAGAGCTTCTTCACAAGCTACGAAAAGGCTCTCTTTGTGCTCTCTATTTTCCTCTTAACTTGAAATAATTACAGGTACAATCTCTAACTATTTCTGTTTTCTCTGCAGGCACTATTTATGAGGGAACCGCAAATATTCAACTCTCTACAATTGCCAAAAATATGAAAGAATTTGAACCATGATGATAGAAATATAATCCTCTGCTCCAGCAATAACCAGGACTTGACAAAAAAGCTTTCAGTGGAATGGAGATGGGAATCTTAAAGGAATCAACTGCTATTGTTATCAGACAGTTGCCATTACTGTATTATTGTGGAAACGGTCAGAGAAACTTTGGATTGGGATCTCTGGTGGACCTCAACCCAGTGGCTCAAAAAAGGATAATAAATAATAATAATAATAAAGCCTTTATTTAAAGAGGGTGGCACTTAATAGCCAAAGGCTAATAAACTTGGAATGGAGGTTTTCGTGTCGCCACTCCTATTTAATCTAAAATACTGTAAGCATCAAATATATATAAATAACAGTTAAAATATAAAATATGACAGTCATGATTATAAGATAAAAATAAATTATTTAAATTATGAAATGATGCAAAAATTGTTGTTCCTTAAAAATCTTGGAGAGAACATGTTCTTTTTAAACATGCTACAGAATTTAGTTTTAGTAATTTCAATTGGTGTACTGTTCCACAGTCTTGTTGCCGAAACAAATGAGGCACAAAGAAAATTAGAGCATCCTGGGCAATCATTGAATGTTTCTCTTTTATATTTAGGAGAAACAGCATTAGTGCTTGAATATCTAGTGTTGCGGGAGTGCCGCTTATATATAATTAAAATTAAGTGTTCATTTAGAAAGATGGGTCTTCTCCGTAATTCTATTTTGGCAAGAATCTCCTTAATCATTCGATTTAATCTCATAATTTATCCACGTTTCTGTGTTCTTCCAGCAAACATCGACTAAAAAAAAACAGCAAGTAAAACAAATTCTCAACATACTCAAAATTTAATGGATCTTTTATCTCATCTCTGAGAGACAAAAATATTAAAACAACGGTGTGGCAGTTTATGGATTTGTACAGCGGAGACAATCAAAGAACCGTATGGGTATGGCAGATAGAGTGATCTAGTCCAAGGTGGAATGGAGGTTTTCGTGTCGCCTGTCTCCTCTGGATTAATCAAAACTGACTCTGCATCAACTTTTAACATAATAACAGTCAATATGTAAAATAAGTCATGATACACAAGAAACATGTCCCCAGGAATGGAATTATTTATTTCTGGTTCAATTCATCAAATTATAAGCCGTGTACACTCCGTCTTCCTTCAAAAAGAATTTACCAGAGAGATGGACATGGGTATAACGAAGGGGTAAATGCGCACGGTCGACTTCGCTAAGACTCACGAAGTTTTAGTTTTAGTCAGTTTTGGTCATTCAGGACATTTTCAAAACTGTATCAGATTCTTTATGTAAGGGAAAGAACAAATGAGGCACAAAGATAAATTAGGAGCATTTCTGGGCAATCATTGAATGGTTTTAACGTTGGACTCTTTTCTTTCTTTTTCTCCACGGAGGTTATTGATCTGTATTCATGTGAAAATTTGAAGAGCCAATATTAAATTTAATTGACCCATTTACCCCTAAGAGTGACTAGCATCTAATTTCTCCTTACAATATCACTCTTAAATCAAACATTAAGCCCGTAGGAATAAAGGAAAAGATCAGCAACTAACTAAGTTGTTGATTGTTTAAGAAATTCTTACTTGCAACACCTTAGGAAAATGTATAAAAAAAACATGGAGAATATAGATACTGATATTAGGGTGTAAAGGGTTAAAGGCTGCATGCAATTACATCTCTTGGTTGGATGGTAGTTAACATACTAGAACAAGAGAGGATGGGCCCTCTCTTGTTCTGGAATGTTATGGCAAGCGCCAACAGTTTAAGCTATTTCCACTATCGTTTTCTATTCTTTGATTCGTTGAGTACATCAAAACCATCAACACATCATGTTCACAGCAGATGTCGATATTTTCATCTTCCCGTTCAAACAGCTGAAAGGCAGGGAAAAAAAAGTTCAGTCTTGGCCTTGTACTGGCAGTATCTCTCCCCATGCCCTCCACACCAAGACCTCGAATTTCCCAGAGCTCCGTGCGACAACTTTATGACGTCACATAAATTAATGCGCGCGCAATAGTGGCTTCCCTTGAACTTTCTTCGTATATACTCCATCTTTTGATATAGCCACAATGGTAAGTGAAAAAAAGAAAGTTCGCGCGATTTTTCCCTATTCTTCCCACTAACGAATGAATTTTCTGTTTCAAGGACGACATCGACGACAAGAAAACCAGCCTGTAAGTGAAAAAGCTGACATAGTATCGTAGATCTTTGGTTTCCTAGTTCAGGAAGTTGCACCCTGTCGTACGCTAACACATTTTTCGTTAATCACTCTAGCTACGTGGGGAACTTGGATCGTCGCTGCACCGAACAGTTTGTTAAAGATATTTTCTCTAAATGTGGAAAGGTCGTTAGATGCAAGATGATTAACGCGGTGGGTATTATTTGTTGTATGTTCTTTCAATTATGTTTTACTTGTAAGAAGTGCCGGCCGGCTTTGTCGATCGTATACGATTAAAGCCTATTTTATTTGCAAATTTACCACTTGTTCGTTTGTAGAAGGGTGCCTGTACTTGTCTACATCACCATTAGACGTATTTGACTAGTTTGGAGATGTTTCTCCCTTTTCTTTCACTTTGAATCATATCGTGACGTTGTCAGTAGTTGTTGAAATTGTAAGCACACCTACGCGCTAGTTTCCGTGAACGTTAATTTTCTTTGCCATGTAGATGTCTTAATTGGTGGTATGAAAACCTTGATGAATTGCCTTTTGACAAAATTAGTTAATAAGAGCTTTCTTATTTTAATTGATGACCATTTTCTGAGACGGAGACGAATTAATTCTTGTTTTATTCGACGAGGTCTTCATTACACCGAAATGCATGTAGGTCTCTTCCTCCATACTTCCGGTGTTAAATTTTTCTGTCAGCGGGAAAATTTCATTCAGAAAAGAACTTTTTACGAAGTTACTGTGTTTTCGTGCCGATTTGAAAAATTATCCTATTTCAAAGATGTAACTATTCACTCCAAAGGAAACTGCAAATGCCAAAATGTATGATGGAAAAAGATGTGTTGTGGTCTTGTGACACCAAAACATAATTCTAGGACTTTACACCCAGAACTGGACCAAGAAAAGAACTTTAGAACTTGCTCCAAGTACAACTTTTTTAGAAAGATTGAGTACAGTATTATGGAACTACATACTCTGGGAGGTTTCATTTTACTTTTTAGCTCAGATATGCATATAGTTCTGATGAACACTCTAGAACTTATGAGGAAGTAACTCTAGTTGGCATCTTTAGAATGTGAAACGATTACCAGTTAATGGAAAAGCCATTTTCTGGGATTCAAGTCAACTATAATTCGCTTTATTTTTTCTCATCTGCAAAATGCCTGGTGCTTTAGCTTGATTTTTAATAGACTTAATACCAGGTTTGTATTTGTCAAATGATTTAAAAAATTTCAACAATTTTCTAGTTGATGAGATATCTTAACTTGGGTATTACGTAACATCATACAGGTTAGCAAAGTTAGGAAAACTACAGTGCCGTGACAAAGTCATTGTGTGGTTAGAGGCTAAGAGATTCCCCCACTGTGAAAGCAAACTTTCTCACTCATTTGTCCAGTCATCAAAATTCCAAGAACCTTTGAATCCTTTGCTAAAAGGCTTGCTTTATGGATATTCTCAAGCTGTTTTTAAAATAGTTTTAAGTTCCTTCTTTCTGGACAACTTCAAAGATGATTTGATGAGTTCTGTATTTTTAAGGACAATGTAGATATCTGAGTAAATTTTTGTTATTTACTGTGACTTGTTATTGGGTTATTCTACAATATGACAGTGGAGTCTGAAGTTTGATCTCTCTCTTTTTTCATTTCATGATTGAATCTAAATCTTTTCACTGTCGTTATGAGATTTGTTTAATTTTCCTTTTCTATTCCCACCCTTTCTTTTCTAGATTTTATGATTAAGATTTAATGATTAACTTAAATGTTTTGTCAGAAAAAAATTCTAGTCTCATGTTTCTAGCACTAGTACAACAAGAAAATTTTGACTTGAAACTTTGTGA